CATTCTCCCTTCCCCACAGCCCAAGCTCCTAGTAAGTACCATTCTCCTCTGTGCTTCTAAGAGTTAATCTTTTCTTAGATTCCACATAAAGTGAAATTATGACAAATGTAAATATTTGTCTTTCTGCGCCTGTCTTATTTGGTTGAACATAATATCCTTCAAATTTATCTATTTTATCACAAATGAAAGGATTTCCTTCTTTTATAAGAAAGAATGTTTCTTTTATAAGAAACACTTCCATTGTTTATATATACCATGTTTTCTTTATTCTTTCATCCCATCATAGACACAGGTTGATTCCATATCATGTCCATTGGGAATAATGCTACAATGAATATATTAGTGCACTGAACATACTAATTTTATTTCTTTTAGATATATAAACAGTAGTGGGATTGCTGGATCATATGGTAGTTCTACTTTTAATTTTTTGAGAATCCTCCATAAAGTCTTTTGCTTATTTTAAAGCTGGGCTATCTTTCTGATATTGATTTGAGTTTCTCATATATTTTGGATACTAACCTCTGTACAAAAACTGTTTTGTTTGATGCAGTGTTACTTGTCTATTTTTGCTTTTGTTGCTGGTGCTTTGGAACTGTATCTAAAAAAAATTATTGCTCAAATCAATGTCATGAAGCTTTTCAGCTGTGTTTTCTTCCCAGTAGTTTTACAGTGTCAGGTCTCAAGTCTTTAATCTACTTTGAGTTAATTTTTCCATATATTGTGGAACAAGGACCTCTTTTTTTTCTTCTGCATGTGAATATTCAGGTTTTTTTGATACCGCTTATTGGAAAGACTCTCCTTTCCCTGTTGTGTGTTCTTGGCATCTTTGTTGAAAATCAATTTATCTTAAATGGGATTTATATCTGGAATTTCTATAACATTCCATTTGCATTCTATTTATCTATTTATCTGTTTTTATGCCAGTGGCATGCTCTTTTGATAATGATAATATTGTAGTATATTGTAGTAATGTAGTGTATGTGATGCAATTTTTGCTCAAAATCATTTTGGCTATTTGTGGTCTTCTGTAGTTCCATACAAATTTTAGAATTGCTTTTTTCTATTTCTGTACAAAATGTTATTGGAATTTTAAGAGGGACTGCATCGAAGCTATATATCACTTTCGGTAGCACGTACATTTTAACAATATTAATTTTTCCAATTCATGAAAGCAGGCTATCTTTCCATTTGTTTGTGTCTTTCATCAATGTTTTATTGTTTTCAGTGTACGGTCTCTTACCTTCTTTGATAAATGTATTCTTAAGAAGGTTTTTGAGATATCTATTGAAAATGACATTCTTGATTTCGTTTTTGGATAGACCATTGTTAGTATATACAGAAGCCAGTGATTTTTTTTTATTTTAAATTTAAATTTTGTATCTTGGAATTTTAATGATCTAATGATATTTCTAACTGGTTTGTGGAATTTTTAGTGTTTTCTATATACATGATCATGCCATCTGCAGCAGGAAAAATTTAACTTCTTCCTTTCCTATATGGATGCCTTTTCTTTCTGTATTTTTTTCTGATTGTTCTAGACACATTTTCTTTCTTTTTTGATTCTTCAGGCTAGGACTTTGAGTACAACATTGAACAGTAATGGTGAGAGTGGGCATACTTATTTTGTTTCTGATTCTAGAAAATATGCTTTCAACTTTTTACCTTTGAATATAATGTTAGCTATGGGCTTTATTGTGCCAAGGTACATTCATTGTATACTTAATATGTTGAGAGTTTTTATCATGAAAGGATATGCATTTTATCATGTTTTTTCTTCATCTATTGAAATTATCATATAGTTTTGTTCTTTGTTCAATTAATTTGGTAGATCACATTTATTCATTTGTGTATGTGAACCATCCTTGTATCCCTACGATAAATCACACTTGATCATGGTGAATGATCCTTTTAATTTGTTGTTGATCTTGGTTTGTTAGTATTTTGCTGAGGACTTTTGTGTCAACGTTTGTTACGGATACTGGCCTGTAACTTTTTCTTGTAAAGTCTTCATTCTGGCTTCGATATCAGAGTAATGCTGGCCTAATAAGTTTGGAAGTATTATTTCTTCTTAATATTTTTGGAAGAGTGTGACAATGATTTGTATTAGTTACTTAAATGTTTGGTTGAATTCAGCAGTGAAGCCATCAGATTTTTTTCTGGGATTTTTTTTTTTTTTTTTTTTTTTGATGGGAGACTTTTTATTACCAACCCAATGTATTTACTCATTACTGATCTGTGCAGATTTTCTATTTCCTCATGATTCAGTCTTGGTAGGTTGTTTGAATTTAGAAATTTATTAGTTTTTTTCCAGGTTATCCAATTTGTTGATATACAGTTGCTTGTAGTGGTCTCATGATCAATTGTATTTCTGTGGTATCAATGATAATTTCTTCTATTACATTCTTTCTGACTTTGTCTTCTCACTTTTTATCTTAGTCAAGCTAACGTTTCGTGGATTTTTCTTACCTTTTCAAAAAAACAAGTCCTACTTACATTGTTCTTTTCTATTGTTTTTCTAGTCTCTATTTCATTTAATCTGCTCTGATCTTTATTATTTATTTCCTGTAAGGAACTTTGGGCTTAGTTTGCATTTGTTTTTCTAGTTTCTTGAGATTTAATAGATTTTTTTCTTTGAGACAGAGTTTCAATCTTGTTGCCCAGGCTGGAGTGCAATGGTGCGATCTTGGCTCACCTCAACCTCTGCCTCCCAGGTTTAAGCAATTCTCTTGCCTCAGCCTCCCAATTAGCTGGGATTACAGGCATGCACCACCACATCTGGCTAATTTTGTATTTTTGGTAGAGATGGGGTTTCTCCATGTTGATCAGGCTGGTCTCAAATTCCTGACCTCAGGTGATCTGCCCATCTCAGCCTCCCAAAGTGTTGGGGTTACAGGTGTGAACCACCATGCCTGGCCTTTTTTTTTTTAATATAGACATTTATTGGTACAGACTTGCCCCTTAGAACTACTTTTGCTGTATTCCATAAATTTTGGTACATCATGTGTTCATTTTCATTTGTTTCCAGATATTCTTATATTTCTCTTTTAATTTCTACTTTGGTCTATTAGTTGTTTAGGAAACATATTGTTTAATTTTCATATATTTGTGAATTTTATGAAATTACTTATTATTGATTTCTATTTTCATACCATTGTGGTTGGAGAAGATACATAATATGACTTGATCTTAAATTTGTTAATTGTTTGTGGCCTATCACATGACATATCCTGGAGAATGTTTGGTTTGCACCTGAGAAGTATGTGTATTCTGCTGCTGGATGAAATGTCCTGTATATGCTTGTTAGATTCACTTGGTCTATAGTTTCATTTAAGTCTTATGCCTCCCTATTGATTTTCTGTTTGTATGATCTTTTCATTGTTGAAAATGCAGTATTGAAATCACCTACTATTATTGTATTACAGCTGATCTCTCTCTTCAGATCTATTAATATTTGCTTTATAATTTTAGCTGCTCTGATGTTTGGTACAGACATATTTAAAATTATTATATCCTTTTGATGAATTGTTCCCTTTATCATTACATAACCAGCTTCATCTCATTTTACATTTTGTTTATATATAGTTTATATATGTATATATATGTATTTTTGTTTATATATAAAATATATATTATATGTATTTTATATATATATATATATATATATATATATATATATATATATATTTGTTGTTGTTATATATAGTGGATAAATAAACAAAATGTTGTGGCAATCCAAAGGAGAAAAAAAGTTATGACTGAAAGCAGAAAAAGAATCCAGAAAACTAAACTAAACAGTTCTGGTGGCATTTGATCCATAGCTTCAGAAATCAGGAGTTAAAATGGCTGGTTGTAGAATAAAGGATTCTAGGCAGACATGTCAGCAACCTCTGAAGTGAAGAAAGTGAAGCATATGTTCATGAATTACTAATGTGGCTGGTACACAAAACTATACAGGGAAAAGTGAACCTGTAAAAGGAAAACAAGCCTAAATAAGTATCAAACTAAGTAATTTAGGTTTTATTCAGAAACTTTATTAAAGCAATGGGTTAGTAAAAAGTTTAGTCATTCTCCTTAGTTAATACCACCATGTCCTGCAGTGTATGCACTGGAACAGAGTCAATTTTAGAGTCAATACATCCAAAGTCTTTTGGGACAAGTAAATGCCAAGACCAGAGGTCATTGTATTATAGCATCCCTGGAGCCATAAAATTGAAATTGGAGACACACTGAAAGACTTTGACTTAAAAAGAAAACCATCATAATTAAAGCAAGTATTAAAGAGAGTAACTAATGGAACATTTGCCAGCTTTGAGTTAATTAAATTCAGCCTTACTTTTTAAAAGTGCTGCTTACAGCAAAATGAAACCATCCTTTTCTAATACAGTGAGACAGTAATGTGATCCCAGTATGATTCATTTCAAATTTGAGCTTTTCTCCACTTTATTCAGTTGGTTAAGAATAAAGTGATAGTTGCAACTAACATCACTAGCAGGAAGACTGCCACCTGGCTCAGTGTAGTCAAATGAAAAACATTGTTCCCATTTTTACCTGCCCTCTATGTCTCAGCTTTAGTATTAAAAAGATTTGAGGTTAATCAATCCTGGAATCAGGAAATTAAACAATACATTATGAAAATCCAACAAACAGTTTTTTATTTCAAGATTTTCCTTCATGCTTGTGCATCTATTTGAATGTGTGGGCATGCATAGGAATGCCTGCTTTTAGTGAAATGGGTGGGTATAAGATGTATTGATTGGATTCTTCCTGCCATTGACTATGTAACTAACCTGTCACTTCTCCAAGTAGTGACTCATGTTGACAGAGTGCATTGTATCTTATAGCTTTCTTTTCTTTTTCTCTTTTTCCTTTATCCAGAGCATTTGTAACTGAAGCACACTTGCCTTTTGCAACTAAGCTCTACTGAATTCCAAAGCCATAGAAATATCCATCTTAACCTGGAAAGTCAGTTTCTTTGCTAGCTCAGAAAGTTTTTTAACATGAACAAGATCCTCTCAAGCACTCTTCGCTTTGGACTCCTAACTTTGTTATCTGTGTTGATCTTTTTACAATCTGTGCATGGACAGCCATATCTTACCCAAGGTACGTACACATCAATTTAAAATCTTACAGGTGGGTAAGTCTTATATTTCTATTTGAATAACTTTGATTTTTCTGCCATTGTTGAAATAATGTTTTAAGAAATAAGTATTAGTTAATGGCCGAATTTCCCTTAAGTAGTTGCTGATCAGAATTAAATATCATCTTCAATACTGTTCCTCTCAAGTAGACTAAATTTACCCAAAATTTTACCCAAATTAATTTTACCCAATATTGCACTAAATTAATTTCAACTATACTTTTTTAAAAATATTGGGGCACTTGTTTCTCACTTGTAGTCCATGACCAAAGATTGGGAATGTGTAAATAGTAATACATTCTTCATATTTCAAAAGTGTATCTTGGGGAAAGGAAAGATTTTCATAAGTTATTTATGAAAAGAGAATACAACAAAGAAAAACAAATCAAGATAGAAACTTGTATTTGCAGAGATTTGAGGAAAATAAAGCATTGGGGGAAATCGTAGCAGTTTCAGGAGGATGATGCCAGCACCTACATTACACATTATTTATCAAGTTTCCAACATACTTAGGATACTTATGTTAAATGAAACAATTCCATCTATGACATCTACAAAATATACACCATGATAAAATTAGTGACAACAAGTTTCTGCTTTTATAATATTGCAATTTATGTAATTGTTCTTTAAAATTTTTGGTGTGTCTATAGAAAAAGTAGCTCTTAAACTGAGACTCAGTAGAGCTAGATTTAGTGATAGTTTATTAGGTAAATAACTTAGGCTTTAACACATCTCTTTATGTTTCCAAAATAGTGACTTAAAGTAATGCTCTCTAATATCTTTTTCAGCTTAAAATTATTGCTGTTTCTTTCATCAAACTTGCTTCCTAGTCAGGAAGAGGGAGATAACCTTTTATTCTCAGCTTACTTAGGGAGAACCAAGACAGAATGTAATAAATTTTGTTTACATGGCACTAGATTGAGAAAAGGGATCAAGTTTCCCATTTCTGATTCTAATTCATTTTTACTAGACCTCGTCACTTCAGTCAATAAAAATTAGAGTAGTTCTGTTGGCAGTGGAAATAAAATTGCATAATTTCTAATTGTTTATTATGAGGATTTTTTCCCATTGAAAAACAAGTAGTCTTGGAGACCTAAATACAAGCCTGGGAATCAAAAATTCTGGATTTTATCCATAACACTCACATTTTGACTTTGGCCAGCCACAATCATTGCATTTGGCAGGTCTCCATCGCTCTTTCTATGAAATAATGAGATTTCCAATGTTTCTAACATAATGTAAATATGAGAGGAAATACGTAATTATTTTTGAAGACTTTGCAAAATTAACATTAGGTAACTGTAGCTTTTAATTTCATGTGTATTTGAAATAGAGAAAAATCTGCCTCTAAAGCATTTGCTAGATTGCATTTAAATAACACCTCTGACCTCAGAATGCCACACAGAGATAATGCATGTATCATTGACAGCATAGTGGAATTATTTCTCTCAGAGACCTCTTTGATGTCAGTTTTATTATATGTAAATAAGAAAGATTATATTATTAGGAAGTTCATTTTCTATCTAAATAGTCCAAAATTACAGTGAGGTCTTCTCTATGTATATATATTTTAAATCATCTATGTTACTTCTTTTAGTCTTTTAATATAATTTTAAAATAAACATTTATCTGCTGACACAGACTGCAAATTTGGGGTTATCAGCTTTTTTCTATGTGTCAGAACTATCCAAGACAAATGACACAATCCTCCTAGCTTACATTTGGTAGGGACCATATAAAAGTGTGCCTCAGGGACTAGGCCTGAAATTGGGCAAACTGCCTAATACAAAGGAGGAAGAAAGAATATCATGACAAAGAAGATTATGAAAAATTTATTTTGCAGAATATTATCGTTGTGGGAGTTTCCAGATTTCTTTTTCGTAAAATTTCTAGTCTCTATGCAGTAAAAACCTTCCCATGTAAATGGAAGGCAAAGAGACAACTGAACATTTTAAGATTGAGTATCTCAAATAGTAATGAATCAGTATTTTCTGTGTAATATTTGCAAAAACACTCTCTCATGTCGAAGAAGCTTTGCCATCTTTTGTGCCAAATGCGCATCTACACTCAGATATTTTGTATTCAAATATTTCCTTTTAATATTAACTCTGCTCAAAGATAGAAACATTAAGGGTATATATATATATATATATATATATATATATATATATATATGTATATATACAATATATATTCTTTTAAAGCTATATCTGTTTTAAAACTAAGTATGAAAACAAGAAATGACTGATTTTCTATTTTTTTTAGCCAATATTTCACTTAACTTTGGAAGTCAACTTTCTAAAATTTCTTGAGAAAACTTTTTTTTTTTTTTTTCAGAGACTCCTGTAAAAGAGTTTTTTTTTTAAGAGATAGTGATAAGGAATTTCTGAAGACAAGTAGTTACGGAGGTACAATTACTGGAAGCAAGACTAATATAGAAAGGCAAAATATATCAGTTTTGTTTTTTGAAAAATGTTTCACTTTATGCAAAGGAATGGACTATGAATTAAGGGGAAAAAACCTTTATATTCATTCTCTTCTAGTTAGATTACTCTCAGTCATATACATTTTTTAAGTTGAAGGTAATGATTGTTTCTCTTATAATTGTCTTTCTGAAACAAGTAGTTATTATTATGTCTCTAAAATATCCCTTCTTTTTTTCAATGAAAATATTTTAAAGACTATAATTTAACATTTTTAACGAGTGATTAAAATAAAAATTACATTATTTCATAATAATATATTTCTTTTAAACTAAACTCTCTCTGAGGGTCTTTGTATAATTGATGCTGAGCAAAATTTGATATTCTGTTGGTATTTTAAATACTCAAAAGAGAATTTTACAGATAATATTTATGTTTATGAAGCAAAGAAAATTGAAGAATTGAACAACAATTAAGTACCTTTGGTTAAGGTAGAAAGCTGTGATCTTGTCACCTTCCCCAAACTATTCATTTTCTTCTTTTAATTAGCCATTTAATTGTTTGAATTTATCAACTAATATTTTGTAGACACAGGAAAGACAGATGATTTTAAGAAATATTCTAATGAACTTATAAGCCATTTCTCCAGCTGAAATCACAGTACTCACTCCTAAATGTAAACCTCATTAATATTGCTTCTACTCACACTCTATCAGTCAGTACAAGGAGATTGGGAGAAGAAAAAACTATTTTACAGAAATTATGTGATAAAGGTTTGACTTTTCAGACTATCTCACAAAAGTTCATTGTAATATACTAATTAGTATTTCAACTGAATTATTTGTTAATGGATATTTTGTTGAATCTTCATGTTTTATAGCTTGTTAGAAATCTGTTGTCTCAATTTCTACTCCAGAGTAAAGATAATTATAGTACTGAGACAGGCACCTGAGGAATGAATGGCTGTGATGTAAATTGACAAAGATGAAAAGCTGTCAATATGAAAGAGGTAGACACCATCCTAGCTCTGCCACAGTCTTTTTTGGATGCTATAAAGGAAATACTTGGAACACAAACTGGCTTATATATAAATGTGTATATTAGATAAAAATCACAAAATAGAATGTTATTTTTTCTTTTGAAAACTACTTTTAGTTTATACTTATGTTAAATAAAATAGTAGAAAATTCCAGAAACACTGATTAAAGGAAAGTTAAACTCCAGTTGTACTACTCAGAAGCAATCACAGGTAAAACTTTAGGGTACAACCCTCCAGGTATACACATATATTCTCTCCCTCTCTGTTTCTGTCTCTATTTGACTGTTCATACACATTCAATATATATTTAGCAATTTTTTAAATGACCCATCCCTTTGGATTACACACTCTCTCTACATTTCTTTAGTTGGTAAATATACAAATTGATAGTTTCCTGTAAGACCAATTTAATTGGAAATATTTTCAGTTATGCAGATTGAAAATCATGATTTTTGATCATTACACAAAATGAAATATTTCCAGATAAAAATATACAAATCGTGAGGAACTATTGCTGGCTCTACAGAATAAAAATTTTGATCTTCAAAGACCTTTCAACACTGGTGAGTTAAGAATAAAGCCAAGCTCAATTTATTAAAAAATAACAGAATCTATTTTGTCTTGGGACTTGCTTTTTCTAAATGTTCATTTACATTAAATGAAATAATTACTCTTTTATATACTACACTAAATATTTAAGTTTTTTTGTTTTATATTTATGTTAAATCCATGGAGTTATTAACAAATATTAAAAGGCTATTTTGGTCAATTTGAAGGTCCTAACCATGTTTTAACAAATGTTTCAAAAGTATCATATTTATAGGTTTCTTTCTAGAAACTTCAAAAATTAACTGAAGTTTTTTGTAGTTATTTTAACATTATTTTTAATCAAATTCTTTCAATTTTAGGAATGGTTGGAGTACAGATGATGAATAAAAAATTTAGGCTATACCAATTGAGATTATTTTTATTTGAAGAACAGGAGAATCTGACTTACAAATATCCCTCAGTTTGCCCTCCAAGAAATGATTGAGATTTTGTCAGAAATTTAGAAGTCTAGTCTATAGAGAAAATGTGACAATATGATACTGTGGTACTCTTCCATACAACATCTATTCTAAAATGTCTGTATTTATAGAACTCTCTTTTTTCTTCCTTTGCTTTCATTCCCTTCCTTTTTCTTTCTTTCTTTCTTCCTTTCTTCTTTTCTTTCTTCCTTCCTTTCTTTCTTCCATTTTTTCTCTTTTATTTCTTTCTTTTATCCTTCTTCAACAAAGAAAAGCACGGTTTTTAAAGAAGACAAATTACTTATCATTTTACAATTTTAACAGCTGGAAAAGCTAAAAGAAGAGCTAATGGAGGTGATGGATTCTGAGACATCCTATGCTGTAGATGGTCTATTCTCTTCTTATCCCAGCAAGCGAGGCAAGCTTTTGTTTCAGGGTTTTAAGACTGACTTCCAAAAGATTATTTTTGCAGTTATTTCTGAGAGGAAGAAGATTGAGCTGGCATTTCTTAATCTTGTGGTGGTGATCAATATAAAGGCTCACAGTTTTAAAAATGTATTCCAATAAAAGTGTTATCATATAAACATATTTGAGCTTTCTGGTATTTACAACAGGGGGTGGCAAGGGCACACTTCTCAGATTTAAATAACATAGGTCCTTATTGTTTCATATAAACTCTGGTTTACCCTTGCTATTTTGGTTTAAACACTGAAGCCGCAAAGAGCACAAACAGAAATAATCAATTTTAAGTTTCACAGAATCTATTCTGACATAAGGAGAAAATTCACTGGTATAACACTTGTACCTTGGAAACTTGTTCCAAGGTTTGATTCATAGTATTTAATTTTAGAAAGCTTACTTTTCTGGATTACGCTTTTGGATAATTTTTTTTTAAGAAATTCTTGTTTCTTACTTTGTTTTTATTTTTGAAAAAAAATTGTATTACTGTTTCTTTGTTCATGTAATGATGAGAGTTTTCCTAAGGCTTATTTATTTTTACTTGTCCCTATCCCAGATTTGTCTTTAACTTCTGTGAAATCATACTTTAACAATATTACTTGTGGGGAACACTCCCGTGTGAGACCCCTAAAAGGCGTGAGTCTCACTATACGGTGAGTTTGATCCCAAACACAGTTTCCTACTGGAGGCAGTCGAGCTATCCGGAAATATAGGAAGAAAGATGAATGATCAGTTTCTAATATCAACCACAATATCATTTGGGCCTAAAACTATGCGTTGCTGCTAGACCTAGTGACCCCCTACCGGCAACCAGTTCCTGCTTTTAACCTTTTTATGACTTTAAAAATAATCCTTAAACCTTACTTACCAGACTGCCTTGTACCCTAGATAATGGTTTAACTGTCAATATTTGCAAAGCAAAATGCCACCATAAGGGATGGCTTTGATTCCTGACTCAGAGATTCCTGAATGGGGAAATTGAGTTAAGTTGAGTCAGGAGTAGACAAAGGAGAATCCGGTTAAGAGATATTCTGATGAGCAAAACCAGAAAACCTTTTCACGTCTCAGTTCTAAAACAAGATCAAACCGGAGATACCTGCAGCCAGGAGGAATAATGTCTGGATGCAAACAAGCTTTGTGATTACAGGAAATTCTGTTACTTTTTACAACCACTGATTGTATATCTGACTTCTCTATCGTATAGGCCATGTGAGGCATACATTTACATTCCTCTTACTATGACGTAAACCAGAGCCAAGAAAGTGTATTTATTCCTGGCCTTTGAAAAATAAAATTTGCTGTTTAGGCACAGCCTATCAGCCCTCCAGACGCCTCGCTTTCTCTCTCTCTGTCTTTATTATTTTCCCAGGCGCACTCCCTCTTCCAGGTATTGGGACCCTCTTGCAGGTCGAGAGACCCCCGGGCAGACGTGCCTACCCATCCCGGACGGTCCACGACAATTACTGAGAAAAGAAGATGAACCAGTGTTAGGTCCTGGGCATATACCAGACATTTTACATTTTAATGTCTCGAAATATAGTTATTAAGTATTCAGATGCTAGAACTAGACTGCCTGGATTCAAGTTTTTAACTTTGACTACCTACGCAACCTTGGAGAGTTATCTAATATCCTCTGCCTCATTTTCTTTGCCTAAAAATGCAGATAATGGTAATAATCTTTGTGGGATTGTTGGGAGGAGTAAACGAGTTAATTTAATTTAAAATAATTCCTGGTATGTGGTAAGTACTATGTAAACTTAAAAATCATTTTCATCATTATTACAATAATTATTTTATTTTATACACAAATGCCATAAAATAGCTATTAATATGACATTTTTTATAGATAAGAAAACTGCATCTCAGAAGGGTTAAATTACATGCTGAAAATAATCCAACTGCTAAGTGACTTAGCTGGTAAGGCTGAAGGAGAGTGGCAGAAGATGAAGTAGAGGGTAGGAGGGAGGGAATTTAGTGGCTTTTTCTTCTTTTTGAGGCAGAGTTTGGCTGCCCAGGCTGGAATGCAAAGGTGCAATCTCAGCTCACTGCAACCTCTGCCTCCTGGGTTCAGGCAATTCTGCCTCAGCCTCCCAAGTAGCTGGGATTACAGGCATGCACCATCATGCCCTGCTAATTTTTGTATTTTTAGTAGAGACAGGTCTCACCATGTTCGTCAGGCTGGTCTGATTCCGGACATATTTCGAATAAAAGTCAACAAAATTTGCTGTAGAATTACACATGAAGTGTAAAAAATAGGCAGGTGTCAAAAACTACCCCAAGATTTTTGTTTTAAACAACTATGAACAAAGGACATTTTCTGTCTTTTGAGCAAAGAATAACTAAAGGAGAAGAAAATTTACAAGAGAAAGGTTGAAGAGAGATTTGGTGGTCCTTTTCTGAATCAGTATAGCTTAGGCTATCATGTGTAAACAGTTATAATTGAAATCTCAGAGGCTTGGTGTAATAAAGTCGGGAATCAAGTCCAGTGCATGCAGCACAGCCCCACTCTATTCGGTAGCTCTATCATCTAGAATGTGGATACAGTTTAACTGCCTCCAACATTGCCAAAACAGAAGAGAATAGAGGATACATTCCAGCTTTCAAGTGCCTCAGTTCAGAAGGGACAAGCAGCATTTCTACGGAAGTCCATTGGCCAGGAGTAGTCACTCAGACTACCATCAACATATGGCAAGGCAGGTTGGTAAATGTAAGGAAGTGTCTATAGTACTTGGGCACTGCCTCTCTCATAGTCAATCCTTCGATCTCTTCTTAAAAACATAGGCTATACTCATTCCCATTAGAGACAACCCCGAATCTCTTCTGACAGCATGCAACACAAAGAATTGGCTTTCCAGGATACATTTACTAGTCTTCATAAGATATAATGTGGCTACTCTTTTTTTTTGAGACAGAGTCTCACTCAGTCGCCCAGGCTGGAGTGCAGTGGCTCCATCTCAGCTCCCTGCAATCTCCACCTACCGGGTTCCAGCTATTCTTCTGCCTCAGCCTCCCAGGTAGTTATGACTACAGGCATGCACCACCATGCCCAGTGTAAAATTTGGTACATCAGCTAGAATGATTTGAAATACACATTTTTTTTTGTATTTCTTATTTCAATTTTTTTTTTTTTTGGATTTTTAGTAGAGATGGGGTTTCACCATGTTAGCCAGGCTGGTTTTGAACTCCTGACCTCGTGATCTGCCCACCTTGGCTTCCTAAAGTGCTGGGATTACAGGTGTAAACCACCATGCTCACACACCCCCCACCTGTTTTGTGAGACCGGAGTTTTGCTTTTGCTGCCCAGACTGGAGTGCAATGGCATGTGACCTAAGCTCATTGCAACCTTTGCCTCCCAGGTTCAAGTGATTCTCCTGCCTCAGCCTCCTGAGTAGCTGGGATTATAGTCTCCTGTCTTTTATTTTTAGTAGAGATGGGGTTTCACCATGTTGGCCAGGCTGGTCTCAAAAGTCCTCACCCCAAGTGATCCAACTGCTTTGGCCTCCCAAAGTGCTGGGATTACAGGCATGAGCCACCATGTCAAGCCAAGCTACTCTTCATTCACAGACCTATTCACTAAAAAAATGAGTTATTCACCCAAAACAAATCCAATAATTAGCAGAGGAACAGGGAAAGGATAATCACAATCAACAGCAACCTGAGCATATTGTCTGCCAATTTACTATTTTCCAATCTTTCTTCTAGGAGCTCTAGGCACATAGTCTGAATCCTCAGCTGTTGCAGATGCCACTTTTACCACTTTATTTTGCCATTTAATAAAATGGCTCTTAATTTTTCCAACCTATGATATCAGTGTCCTTGTCTGCCATTAATGAGTTGCTGATACTGGCACATTTTAGGTACATTTTAGAGCAGCGCCCTCACTTCACATTATCAAAGTGTATACTGGGATATGCTAGGCAAGCTAACAAACAACCTTTAAATCTCAGTGATGCAACTTTCTGTAACTGTGCTCTTGAGTTTACATGAAGTCTTATGTATGTTGATCATTTTCCTTCACTGCATGCCTACACTGTGTGGAACACACAGTCTCCAGCGTACCTACAGTAGGATGGGACACAGATGAAGCAGGTAAATATGCTTTTCACTGCCAGAGCTACGCATATGGTCCCAATTTAAGTTAATGAGGATGTGGGATCCTTAGGAAATATAGAGAAGTCTTAGGAATAGTTGAAGAGTTGTATTCATACCACATATTTTGGGTTTGTTATGCTATGTATAATGAAGATAAAATGTATGAATTTCAAGTTGGAGAATATTAATTTATATCCCCAATCAGCCCAAATTAGAGTATACATTTGACAGTTACCAGCATATACATATTGTTTGGTATTGGGATGAGACTGAGAGGGGAGAACCCCTCCCCATCTCCCTCCTCGCAGGCCTCCACTTCCTCCCTTCCGATGATAAGGAGGGTAAAGAAAGATAAAATACCAAAGAACTGGAATCCGTGGTCATGCAACTTGCTGACGCCACTGACCAGGCCATAATGAGGACCAAGGACTGGGAAGATAACTCCCTTTTCGGTTCCCAGCATTTATGCTATCTATAAACCTTGAAGTGCTGCAAAGAATGTTATCCCTACCGGACAGAGCCCAGCACGGGTCACAGCCTCCACATTTACATGACCAAGACCCCCGTCTGAAAATACCTTTACTGCATTTGTCTCGTCTCCGTCTCCGTAAGCCCCCTCTCCTGCCTATTCCCGCACGTGCTGCATATGAATTAGCAAATCAATGAAAGTCAAAGACTGTGAGGTCAGCTGCTCAGCCAATGGGCAATAACACAGTTTCACCTCTGCTCCCCGTTTATAGAGTTTTAAGTCCTTAAAAAGGGAAAGAAGCTGCTTCTCAGAGAGCTCACTCCTGAAGGCATTAGCCTGCTGAAGCTCCCAACCGAATAAAAAGCCACTTCCTTTCTCAGTTCAGTGTTGGAGAGGTTTTGTCAGCCGCCAGTCCTCGTACAGGACCATCTAGGGAGTGACTCCAAATATAAAGAAAAGATATCTAAAGACTGAGGCCAGGTCATTCCAAGGGTGGAAACTGAGCAGATGAGACAGTGTCAACCAAAGAGTAGGTACCAAGGAAAGA